AAAAAAAAAAAACCACTATAGCTTATCAAAACTTGAAAAGAGATGTTTGACTAATTTATATTCAATTTTTCTTTCTTTCTTTTGTTGTTTATAATTTCTGGGTGCAACGCAGGAACCAAATTCTCCTTTTTCTTTAACAGTTGAAAAGATGAGTAACGAGAATAGACGGAAAAAGAAGAGAAGGAGAAAAGTAAATGAAGAAAAAAAGACAGAAATTTGAATTTCAACTACATGAAAAAGAAGAAAAGTACTGACAACCAAAAATTAAAGATTTTAAAGCTTGCTAAGGGAAAATAAAACTTGACTTACGAACATCAGGTGTATGACCCCACTGCATCAGTACTTCATCCGTCCTCAATATCATCGCCATCATTCTATCTATCCCATCTATGGCAATCATCGACAAATGCCTGTTGCTAAGGGGGGCGTCGACAGTGCCAAGTCGACTGAAGGGAAAGGATACATGAATAAGAGAACTTTTTGAAAGAGGACACTTCTCTATTGGATTCATGTATGTGAATAATGGACAAGTAATTAGAAGAAAGTTTGAAATATTCAATTTTAGCGCTCTATGATGCTAGTTTGCTTGAAGGATAAAACAGCTGAAAACGTCCTGAGGTCAATTAATTAACCGCCAGTTAAGCAGCAAGAAATCACTGAGAAAAAATATACAAATATAGTGTTTATGATATAATACTAAGCTCACATTACTTCCGGTTGACTTGTTGACAGTTTTCACACATCTGTATTTCAAGAAACCTCTTTTGTTCTGCTCTGTGTAGTAATGCTTCTGTTGTTTTATAAATTACAATTTTTGTGCTGTCGTTTTTTAGTATCCTGTGAGTTGAAAAATGTTGAATCGTATCAATGAATAGGTTGAAATCCCGCTAAGTAAATCTGTCTAATTGAATGGAGAAGAAATTTTTGCCATCAAAAAATCATAAAAGGGAATTAGAAAGAGAAAGAAAAGTACCGTGCCAGTAATAAACTGTAACCTACAATGATCAAATACAGGAGACAAATTTTAAATTAATTGCAGGACGAAATCTGTCTTGCATTTTAATGCAATAGCAAAAATAACAGCTTTTCTCCTGCGATTTTTTGTTTGACTATTTCATTTTTTTAAAATGTGTTTCGAATTGCTGGAAATTTTGGAATGAAAAACGGTTTTATAAGGATTTTTCAACACCTGTTCACGAGAAAATTTTTTTTTGCTTTTGTTTTAACGTCAATTTTTTTTTTAATTATTCACTGCAGCTGTTAAATTTTATCAGTGGTTATCAGGAATTTTAATTTTATTGAACTACTGGTGCTATCAACTAATTAGCCTGGTCGGTTCGTCCGTTCCTCGGTGTTCCGATTCTGCTGAAAAAAATCCGAAATTTTCCCGGTTGTACGCCACTCGTGTGGAAAATTTATGGTCAGCATAACAGTGATTTCACCATTCAAAAAGCATTGAAACTGTTGACGGACGAACAATAGCGTGTCAGTCCAAAAACGAAGCATAAACGGTTAGACTACTGTGGATGAAGTTTTTATTGTAGCTAATTCCTTACAAAGCCTTAATTCTCGTTGTTTGCCCTTTTTAAATTTTTTTTTTCTTTTTTTAGCATTTCAATGCGTTTTTTTCTATCTTTTCATTTTCATGCTGTGGTGATGCAGTACAAAGTTTCTGTAGCAGGATAAGGGGAAAGAAGAAAATAGAAATTAGAAATGTATTTCAACGAGCAAAGCGAGTAGCATTAATATACTGCCTATCTTTGCAGAAAGGTCTGGCTGGTATTGGCTAAATGCCTCAGATGAAAGCACTGAACGCCCCATCGAATCCAGAGACCTTCTTTATGATTCAGGAACCTAAAGAAACGTTTTCGCGAAAATTGTTTGTTGGGGGTCTCCCCCTCGACATAACCAAGGGTTAGTTTTGATTTTGCATGAAAAAAAAAAAAAAACTATAAGAGTCGCTAGTAGCCTAATGCTTAACTCAAACAACGAACCCTTTTATAATTCCTGCAATTCTCACCGGTCCCAATTTGTTGTTTTTTGGTTTACAGATCAATAATCTCTTTTAATTTTTTCTTTATTTGAAAAAGCATGCTGAAATAGTTCAGATTTAAGAAATTTGTGTATAGTGTTTACAGCATTCTTTTTGTTACATTTCAATTGTTTAGATGAAATCATAGCCCATTTTTCAAAATTTGGGAAGGTGCTTGTCGATTGGCCACTGCGGTCAGACACGTCTTTCAGTATGTGTAGTACAGCGTCACAGCGTATGTTTTTACAAATATTCCTGCATTCGGTTTTAGAACGGCGCAAGCTTAAGAGCCCTACTGGATGATAGACGCTCGTTAAGATCTTTTAATTTTTTCATTACGGTAGTTTTAATTTGTTATTTATAAGACTGTTTCCCTTTGGGATTTAAGGAAGTCAAACTTTATTGCTGCTAAATTTTCGAAACCACATAAGTTTACAGAAAGTCTCGATTTTTTGGTTCCAGAACGCTCTATGGGCTTTGCTTTTTTAATTTACGACTGTGAACCATCTGTTCATCTGCTTATAAAACATTGCTACATTGACAATGACAAGTACTATATTTTTATGTCTAGTGCCACTATAAACGATAGACCGGTAAGTATCTTGGAAATGATTTGGTGAAAATTAATTTCGAATTTGAAAGCTTTATGGAAAACATGTAATAGAGGGACCTGAAGTTTTAATATTAGCCCGAATCCATTTGGTTTTACGATAAGAATGGTTTATATAAAACTTATTTAGGTATTTATTAAGCTTAATACTTTGAATATTTGAGTAATCTAATGTAATTGTTAGTTTTTTTTTTTGAAGTGCAAAGAGTTACAGTTTGAAGAAAATAATTGAACTCAAGCTTTTTGATAATATTGCACACTCAACGCTTTAGGTAGAAGTAAGACCTTGGCGGCTGTCAGATGTTGATTGGCTTTTAGATCCAAACATGGAAATCAATCCTCATTTCACCGTCTTCGTTGGGGGGGTACCAAGGCCAACTAAGGCTAGTAAGTTCCGTTTGCGCTCTTAAAGAAGGTTTAATTGCTTTTGGCAGGTCATTTTAATGTTTCATCGGTTTCTGGTCAAGTGAAATAATGTTTAGTTGTGAGAGCTAATTTAGGTTATTTAGGCGAAATTGCAGAAGCAATGACTTCTTTGTACGGCCAAGTATGTTATGCTGGCCTCGATATAGATCATGAGCTCAGGTATCCGAAAAATTACGCTCGGGTTACTTTCGTCAGTATGCATTCGTTCCTGGCCGCTGTCAAAAATCGATATGCAAATTTTTTTTCCGCTGGGTTAAATGCGGCAAAGAAGGTTAATTCTGACTAGTTTAAGCACAGGGTTGTTGATAGAATTTTCATTCATTTGAAGGGTCTGTTGCTTCTGTTATTGTATACAAAACTTGAAATTTGCTTGGTAGGTTGTGAACGGTTTTTGTCTAGTTTTTGGAACTTATTTTGTTTCGCAACAGTTTTCTTTTGAAGTTTCCGCTTCTCTTTTTGCCTGAAAATTGTTCATTGAGGCTTTTGCAACTCTTGTAAGCTGAAAACTTCTTACATTATGAATTTGTCTGGTACTTCATCTTTTTCAGGTCGAAGTCAAACCGTACGTGATGGATTCTAAAAAGTGTGACCAATGTTGTGGTACAAAATGTGAAGGGAAGCTTGCATCGTTATACTGCGGTCATTTGTCTTGTTTACAGTACTTTTGTCGACCTTGTTGGGATGAATTTCATTACGGACCTCATGCTTCCAAATTACTCGCTACCCATAAACCGTTAATTCGGATCCAAAATCACGTTCAGGTCCCCAAAGAATTTTTAGTTGTCTTGAGATGTGGGAAAGTTTTATTTCTACACTGTGAAAAGTAACTTACATAAGTATCACTTCTTATTATTTGAAAAGCATTTTACAAAAATTATAAGACAGACCCTAGCCTTCATTGTAGTGGTATGGTCTTTTCCTAAATTTCGAACATGTTCTAGTCAATTCGTATTTTCACCACTCAATTTCCGCAACATTCCCGTCCTATTCCTTCCGTTATTTTTTTAACATTTTACTGGTCCTTTCATTTGTGGCGGATCATAATGTCTGTACTTTCAGGAACTTTCTCTTCGCCCGCATGGTTTTACTCCCCGAAGATGAGGCGATTCCACTGTCTAGAAGGTCTTTTTTTTTTGTTGAATTGCAAATATTTTTCTCAATTTGGTTTACTCCTGTGCCATTTTCTTATTCCTAACTTTTATTCTAATTTGATAATTTTTCTGTGAGTCAACACCAACCTGTTTAAGAGCTTTTGCGGACGCAGAAGTTGTTCATGAAGTGTCTGTGAATTTACCTTGTGCAAAGTTGTTGTTACTTTGGCTGATTTGATGTTGGTCCTTTACTTTTGTTTTTGACCTTTTTGTCTTTTTTTAAAGTTCTAAACATCCCAATGTTTTTATAGTAGCATAGTTCCTGTAATAACTTAACCACTTTGTTAAAGTTGTTCCCTTTGTCGGCTTACTTGCAGTCCTATTTTTTGGTATAACAGGTTTTTAAGATATATGTTATGTTTTATTTCCCTTTAATTGTTATTTGGTCCTGTACTGTGCATTAATAAATCAGTTCTTAACCGTTCTTCACTTAGTAGATAAATTATTGCAGTTGTGATGATCAGGCTTCATTAGCCGCACTAGCGTAAGGTTAGTAGCCGCCGATTACTCGTGTAACTAGACCTAAATTGAGGCGCAAGTTTGCTGTTTACACCATTACGTCTGGGTTATGAAGTGTCTATTAGAAACCAGTGAATCGCTATGAGGACTTGCTTTTATCATGTATGCCTTTCTGCTCGGGGTCTTCCGGTCATAGGGGATTCTGTACATAACTGAGCTCCTTAAATTTCAGTTTTTTTTTTGATAGTCCTCGGCGACGTGTAGAGCTTACCGTCGAGTAATTTAGATGCCGGGCGTCCCATTATATTTCCCTTCTAAGGCCTTGTTGACAGATTAATAATAGTTAACTCTGTTGCACGATTAGTTTGCAGTCGGGAGTGAAAGCCTACGTGTTAGGAAAACCTAAAAGAATTTTGAAACAATGAATGGAGAGTTGCGAGATATGATGTGGCAAAGCAAGAAATATTTTGTTCAAGCAGTCTTATGTCACTCTTCCTTCAAAATAACTCAAGATGTTATCCGCGAAGCTGCCTTTTTGGTCCTGTAAACAAAGCCGTTTTGATTCCTTATACCTTTACTCCGCTGATTTTTTAAGAATGAAATAGTTTCCTGAGATGGATTTTTATTGCAAATTAATCAGTTTATTTAGGTCAAGGAAGGAAGAAAATATTCTACCAATCGCTTTGGATATTTGAAAAAGAGGCGGAGTTGCCTAAGGATAAGTGGATAAAGCTGAATAAGAAGAAAGTATGGCCGTTGTAAAGTTTTTAAAAATGAGGTGGAAGCACATGTGCCTCTTTTGAACTACGTCATCACAAAATGATTCAGTTTCCGTGAGTAATCTGCATAGCCCTTCCTCATTTGAATAGTTTACTCGCATTTTTTCATGCAAAGACGTAATGAAGATTTTAAAGTTCAGAAACTTACCTTGAGTGCAGTACTAGCTCCTTCATTGTCGTGAATGAGTTGACAGGAGCTTTCTTTAGAAAATAATTAAATACTTATTGATGGAAAAGTCTGAACATGGACCATTGAGAAGACCGACTTGACCGATTTACGGTAGTTGCAAAATGTAAAAAGGGTCGTTTTGCCACTGGGGAACAAAAACGCTGACAAGATGGATTTTCGTACAAAAACAAATTTATTCATCAGACCTCAAACCTGACAGGTGAGTTTCAATTGTTTTATAATCCCAGTTCATTTGTCTAACAAAACATTACTTTAGTATCCCATTCGGCACCAAAAATCTACTGAGGATTTGTTTCAGCCTTGCTTAATAGTGGACCTCATCGTTAGAAAAGTTGACTCTTGAAATGGTGAAGCAGAGGGCTTTTGAATAACGTGCGTAAAATTAGACAAATTAAGATACCTTCCATTTTTACCATTGTTTACGCGAATTAAACCTCAGAACTCAAAATCTTTATTTCATTCACATGCAATTTTTTTTTTTGAGCGGAGCACTTTCAGTTCTCGTACTAATGTATGCAGTTCTTAGATAGTAGTATGTGAAATTCTAGTATCGCTGGAGCCTGGTGATAACCTTGCACCCTAACAAATTGTCCTTAGTGTACATTAACGGTCATTTTGTAATGGAAAAGGAGCACCGTAAGAGTTATTTTGCATTCCTTTTCAGCAACTAAACAAGAAATTTTAGGCGGTTTAGCCTCTCCCTACTAAAAACGCTAGTTCCTATGCTGGAGAAAGTGCTGACGAAATTCTTGAAGAAAGACCTAAAAAGCGACAGTCGCCTAAGCAGATTTTGAGAACCTTTTCCTTTTAAGAAATTCTCACATTTACTTTCGCTGCACATAGTTCGTTAGGTAACTTTTCTGCCCAAATTTTGTGCGCAATAACTTTTTGCCACCAGTAGATAGCGATCGAGCTCTAAGTTGCACTAGTATTCAGAGTATATTGCAGAGCAATTATTCATTTGGATGTCCTGGTGAAAGACAATAAAATGAATTACGTCATTGGCGCAAGCGAAACTGTGAACAGCTTAAAGGCAAAGAAACTAGATGAAGTCACCTTCAATTTTTCTTCGGTCAACTGTAAGGAGTGCAGCAAAGTTTAATGAGCATTCCGTGGTTTACGCGAACCATACAGCACCCCTGATTTTCTGCCTAAATTATATTTATTTCATAATTTTTTGCAATAATAAAAAACTGATTTCTTCGAAAATTGTAAGGTAATTTGAAAATAGGCTTTACTTATCAAGAAAAAAGCGATGTCTGTATTTACGCAGCTGATAATGGACAGGACAAATGCAGCAGTTCATTTTTTAAAAACCTTCCCAAGAATGCCCCTGAAGTAAGGCGTATTAGCCCGTAACTCTTATTCGAGGCTCTGCCCAAAATCAACAGTTTTATATACAAGGCGCCGTTGGAAAATTAGAGATAAATGACTACCAACGAGCGAACAAGCAGCGGCCTGTGAAGCATACGTGCGATGGTGCTACTTGTTCCACATTCTATCGATAAAAAATTTTTTTGTTGTTATCCACCCCTGAAGTTTTAGTAACTGTTTTTCAAATGTTTTGTTTTTGTTTTTTCAAAATAGTATACACCATGTAAACTTCTTTCTACCTTACTTTTTAATCTTATGCTTTTTAAAAAGTGGAATTGTGAAAATTTCAAGGTCCTGCAACGTAAATTTCCATTCCACTGACTAGAACCTAAAATCTGTTTCGCAATCGTCTTACTACTTGATGAACGTAAATTTCCATTCCACTGACTAGAACCTAAAATCTGTTTCGCAATCGTCTTACTACATGATGATAGTTAGTGAGTGACACATTCCTTAAAACACTACATATTGCTGCTTTATCTTTTTCCCATATTTTGAGGCATTTTAACTCGTTTGCATGAGATTGACTAGGATATCTAGAGATAATTAAAAAAATCTGCAGAATCAACAATGTCGTAAACTTTATTTAGAGGGAGTGAAAGGAATAGAACGAGATATGACGGCACAAACACTTACTGAAAGATACTTAGACTATATCGACTTTTTAGGGCTAGTTTTATGCTATATTCAAGGTGGAAGGATACTATTCGGTTGGTGTTCTCGTTGTTTCAGTGGAATCATGATAACTTTATGTAACAATTCGTCTAGGCCACATCTCAGTGCTTCCACAATAATAATTCTTCTTTCTCTCCTCACACTAAAATCAGGATAGACCAGATCAGAACTTTAGCTATTAATTCCCACGATTTTTCAGTAGTAGATTCTTAAAAGTGTCATAGCTGAAACAAAAAAATTTAGTGACATCCTTAAAAAGGTGTTTGATGTCCACCGAACAATGTAGATAACGCAGCATTTGGACTCCTGATCAAAGTAACAGCAGCAACAACACCACATGTAATGTACATTACTGGCAACTCGATAAACAACAAAAGCAAGCTAACAGAAGACCAACACCATCGATTCCATTCAAATGCACAGAAAAGTTACACTTCTCAACCTGACGTTGTTGTTTCCACTGAATCTACGGTTCGTTGCGCAAAATTTTGAAATGATAAGCTAAGTGTTTTAAACAAATCCTGAAATTTAGACGTGCAATTTCAAATTACTAAAAAAAATTGCACTATCTTAAAGACCTCTGTGCGAATACAAAACTAATTGTCAGTTTTATGGCATTGCAGTTTCTAACCGTGACTGTCAGATGTAAAGACAAAATCAAACCAATCCTGTAATGGAAAAAAATTTTTTTGAGCAGTTTTTGCAATATTTGTTCAACGCGACGCTAACACCCACAGATCTCGGCTCCAGATATGGCATCAGATCGGCTTAATATGCGGGAAAATTGAGCGTAATGGAGTTTTGCCAAATAAGAAATGCGCAACAAATGATGCGGTGACTGCGCTGTGACTGACTCGTCTGCAAAGAGTGTATTGGACACGGCTTTTAAAGGCAACATCTGACCCAGTTTTTTTTTTTCTTCTGTTATTGTTTTCCTTTCTCGTCTGCTCCATACGCGTTTGTAGTCATCTGGATGGAGTAGACAATAGGTTTTCTGTACGTCGTACAGGAATGTCGGATTATATTGTCGTTCTCGTTTTACCTCTGCCGTTCCACCTTTATTTGCATTTCCTTCACATTATTTTTTAGTCTTCAGTGATAATGCAAAGTGCTTCCGGTCTCAGTTTTGGCTTTGCTTTATTTTTATCTTTACAAAGAGCTAGGGTAGGAGAGAATTGGGGTTTGAAACTATAGCTTTATGTGGCTTTTTTAAATTAATCTTACTAAACGTAGTAAGAGTACCGTAACTGTCACTCATATGTAAATTGCCATTTTAATTTCACTTAAACGTATAGAGAGTCTCAGAAAGTGGTCATTAGCGATTTGAAAAGTGTGTACATCTACTAAATGCGAGTTGAAACTTTACAGTTAATTCTCTTGTTTCTATATATTTGTAAAAATTCGTTTTCAAATAAGTTTGAACAATAAAGGAATATAATACAGAAACTTAAAGAACTTACTGATAATCTTATACTATGTCGGAGGGTTTGAATTAGACAAGATAAGACTCATTTAACTTTACTTTTCCTGTTTCTTATTTCTGCTTATTAGTTGTTACGGTATTTTTGGAAGAATATTTGACGGAACAGGACATGAAGACGTGGGCGATACTCGGAGAGCGAGGTACAGACGGTATCTTCTTGATACCTTAACATTTTCTGCTAAACTCAGTTGGGGAGTAGAGGCATATGTTTTCAGTATTTAGAAGAAAGCGAAACCAGTGGAAATACACAAGTTTTAAGAAGCTGATAACCACTTTCCGGATGGTGCATTTATATTAAGGAAGCTACTGCAAACATTTTTAGGCCTTGAAAACCGCATTACATGTAATGGTGTTCAGCCTCTCTGAGTTTTATTCGGTAAAAATGAAGGACATTCGTCGAGGAAAGCAGTACATAGTAAACTGTGTTGGAAAATCACATTTTTCTTTTTTTAATTTTTTTTTCCGGTCCCTTACAGGTTGTACGTCGGGGAGAAAATGAGCTTTCTGACTTTACCTAGGAAGAAGTTTTTGTATTATATAAACGTTCATATTTTGTAGCAGTTTCTTATTACAGTGTTAGTTCTGTATTCGATAAACTGTTTTTTCCCCTGAACTTAAACGGTTCGGAACTGTCTCGTAATTTTCACTTAGCCAATTTAGTGTATCACTATGTTTTTGTTTCCGGAATCTACATATTTTTTGCCACTAGCAAATGTGATTAGGACGCTGGAATTTCCAACTACAACTACTTTTGTGACATGCAAAAGTATGAGAAGTTTCACAAAGTCGGTGAAGGTTAGTTTTGCATCCTTTTTTCCTGAATGCTTAATATTTACCTTTGCAGTAAAATGCTTCATTGGGAAACAGACATTATAGTTTCCATAAAATGCCGATAAAATTCCTCTTACATCAGCATCTAATTTTTCAACAAATTAAAAGAGAAATTAAATTCTTCCTCTAATGGTAGCTGATGCATATGTAAATGGATTTTTGGGTTTTTTGCTATACATTTATTAAACTTTTCAAGGGACATATGGGACTGTTCATAAAGCACGAAACAAAGAAACTCAGGAGTTTGTGGCCTTGAAGTGTGTTCGTCTCGATGATGGTGACGAGGTATAACTTTTGCTTGAGATTCGTAATTATGTAGGCAGGAAGAGTTTATAGCTTTTTCTTGTCTTCTTCAATACTGTTAAACCAATCGGTTGAGATTCATTTGCAGTGTTTTTAGGGAGTCCCTAGCTCAGCGCTTCGTGAAATATGTTTACTAAAAGAATTAAAACACGAAAATATCGTACGGCTTTACGACGTTTTTCACAGTGAAGGCCTTCTTACACTTGTTTTTGAATATTGCGACTTAGACCTAAAAAAATATTTTGATTCTCTAGATGGACCAATTGATCAGCAGGTATTGGCTTCAGTCTGAACAATGTTTACTCTGGTAAAAATTGTATAAGTTGCTGTTCAGCAAATCTTTCGTACTTGTTATCAGCACATTTTTGTTTAAATACTTGAAGTTTTTTATTGGTTGTTTTTCCTTCTTTTTTTTTTTTTAAAAAGACTATTACAATCACTCTTAACTAATTTTAGTTATGTAGTGAAGAAAGAAATTATTACGAATAATCAGTTTAACAATTTTCAAGGTTGTTCGGTCTTTATGCTTTCAACTTTTGCGAGGGCTTGCTTACTGTCATGCACACAACGTTCTTCATCGCGATCTTAAACCTCAAAATCTGCTCATAAGTCATAGTCTTCAGTTAAAGTTGGCCGATTTTGGACTGGCGAGAGCATTTGGTATTCCAGTAAGATGCTATAGTGCAGAGGTAGGCTTACCTTTAAAAGTTGATCTCCCATGCTGTTTGTACATGTTTTCCACTAATCAGCTTAGGTAGTTACATTGTGGTATCGACCACCAGATGTTCTTTTCGGAGCAAAGCTGTACAATACATCGATAGATATGTGGTCTGCTGGTTGCATTTTTGCAGGTACGCTGCATTTACTTTTACTAAACGAAAGCACACAGTGCAGCTTTAGTTTATAATTAATATTTCAGAAATGGCAAATTCTGGGAAGCCATTGTTCCCCGGAGCGGACGCAGATGACCAACTGAAAAGGATTTTCAAGCTTCTCGGAACTCCCACGGAAGAGTCGTGGCCTTCATTTTCAAATCTTCCTGAGTTTAAGGTGCTATTTTTTTTTGCTCAAAAAATAGGTTTTTAGTGCAGTTTCTTATGCAGTTTCTTAGGTCTCTCTTTTGTTAACTTTGAGGCTGGTGTTTTATTAAAATGCTTTCATTAAGCTTACTAACTAAATACGTTGTAGCCTATGCCAGTTTACCGTTCATCGGTCCCATTTTCACAAATAGTGCCAGAACTTTCGCCTGTTGGGCGGGACTTACTACAGGTAACCTTGAACTTTTTGTAAAATTTGACGATATTTTGCAGAATTTTTATGTTGTGGTTCTAAACTGCTTAACTTTTGATGATTTAGAGAATCCTTTCAGAAACTTTTGGTGTGTAATCCCGCCCGTCGTCTGAGCGCAGAATCTGCTCTACTTCATTCGTACTTTAGCGAACATGACGAAGGCAAAAGTTCTTTTGCATTGTAGTTCGTTGTTAGGCAGGCAATGAATTCAAACCGGTTAGTTTATAGTGTCACATCATTCTCCCTCCTACTGTATTTATATGACTTCTATTATGAAGGCGGCTACCAAAATGAGGTCAGCGTTCAGGAACTTCTAGTTGTTTATTGCACTTAGCACCCAATTCTTTTTTTCTTTCCTTCTGTAGCTTTCCGTCTTCAAAAAAACATTGATCTCTTGCATTTTGCCATCTTATTTGGTTGGAATTTTTTTGACGGTGTCTACTTTCTTTGACCTTTACGAAGTACCACTTTCAATTGCATGAATTAGGTTCCTATGTGTCACTATCAGTGTTAAACACTGCTTTTACATTTTCCTGTTTTTACTTGAAGTACGACGAATTCCGAATTGAAAACTCCCCATTATGGAGTACTACTTATTTATAAATGAATGTGTGAAAGACGCTGAAAAAGTCCCTCGCATGGTACGACAGATTGGGAAAGCTGAGACCATTTACAGCCTGCGGATCAGCTTTTTCGGCCGTAACTTCGCTTTGCCTGCTACCAACAATACCCAAACATGAAGTGTGGACATTACAATAGGCAAAAGAGATATGGGGGAGTAATGCTGCAACAAGCTTCTGAACAGGGACAGTTCCTGCCGTCCCAATCGGCTACAACTCCCCAAAACAGTGCTGTATAAAAAATTCGGCGCTAAAGTACTAGCCCAGCCAAGTAGTTTGACTAAGGTTGCGAGATGGCAATGGTAGTATCATACTTTGCGGGATGAATCTCGCTAAATCACAAAAACGTTGCAACAGTAACGCCCCTGATGAATCCAAGCAGTAGATGGTGGCTTCTATCGGTCAGAAACACCCACTATTATTACGAACTCCAAGCTTGACTTTTGCCGAAACTTCTACGAACTATGCGGTAGAAATTTTATTTTGCTTTAGACTTCTGCATTCCGTATTTCAGTAGTATAAGAGATCTACAGGCATATGGAGTTATAAAGCTGAGATTAAAGCGCCATATTTCACTATAAAACCATAGCACAACTCTTCATAGCGATTTTTCAAAGTCAAGGGCAGACGAAGTACGAGTCCCATACATGTTATACTGCCCAGAGACGAATTCTTAACATGGAAGGGGAGCGATGACAGCTGCAAACTATAGTGCGTTGCCAGGTAACACGACAACAATGGCTTAAGTCTAAGATATGAAGTAGTTGGCAAGTTTGCTTTCACGAGATTACGGATTTGAGAGATTAGCATGACACGACTTTCTTTTTTATTTACCCTGGCAGTCAAATAGTGGAAATTAATTAATAATTATGTAAACACTCGCACTTAGAAAAGTGCTTATGTTTCACCATCTCGTAATGCCCCATATGTCGCAGCTATCACCGCTGCCTCTCGAAGTTCTGAATTCATTTCGGAACAGTATAAGCTTGTATGGCTACCGCAGTCCCTCTGTCCTCGGTCATTTACATCACTTGCTCCTAAATCTCTATCCATAAAGATATTACTATCACCGTAAGGGCTTTGACAAAATTCACGAACTGGTCCCAAGTCATTTAGATTGCCACATCCAGCTTCAACAGCCCCTGGAGAGGGATTGTTTACAGATGAATCCACATCCCTAACTACTTGATTACTAGGCAGCGTACGGTACTCAAGTTTCCGCATTGCTTTAGAAGTCTCGCACTGAAAAGTCTCACAAATTCAAAGAAAAGTAAAAGACTAATGGGTAGTTCAGAAAACCATTTTAATTGAGATGTACCAGTAACGGAGGTTCTGTATCATAAACCGGTTGGGCACAGCTCAACTGTGAATCATATTCTGAGCACCATGGGTAGTCCTCATTAATTGACGTTACATTACAGTGAGAATCTAAAAATTTTTGAAACCTCACTTGTTCACTTACTTCTGTAGGTAATAAATTGAGTTTCAAAAAATGCAGTCATTTGATCAAAGTTAATTGTGGAACAAAACTCACAATCTCTATGTACATCAAACCGGAAAGGCGACGAAGCGACAAGCTGAAGGCCATCCCCGTGGGCTATGTCACGACTTGGTGTCGAAAATGGATCAGAAAGAAATTGACAAAAATCATCACCATCATACTAAAACCTCATTACTAATTACATGCTATCTTCAAAAAGGGAATAAGCGACAAACGATTCAAAAATCGACATTCATAGGCAAATGAAGTGTGTAGCGAAAAGACACACAATAACTAAAAGCCGATTAGTTACCAGGGGATCATTACAGTCAGTCCATAGTTCTTCGTTCTGTTGAGCAGGTTGATGACTGACGATTTTCTCGGGAGTAATGTTCAATCTACGAACACCAGATTCTACTTGAGTGAAAGACAAGCTATAAATGCAATACATTAAAAAACGAAGTTGTCATTAATATTCAAACTGAGACAGATAACATCCCAATAAGAAGGTAGGACAGGCCATACGTTTGAGTGGAACTAGGTTGAAACGATCGCTGTTTCTGATTGTTTAATGTTCTATTCGCATTATCTGCTTTGGACGAGTCTGTAAGTTACTTAGTAAAAGAAAAAGGGTTTAACGGCAAGTGGTCAGCAAGTGCTTTTTCTTCTCATGACAAGCCAGCTAGCATAAAACAAAAGAATTTTGAAAGGAAGAAAACTGACTAATGGGATTTAACTGCGGTGGAGGGCTAATTGAATTCATCGATTGAAGCTGGGGTGGAGAAGAAATCGAGCTGTTCTCTTCCTCTTCATAACAGTACGATTGATGCCGTTCTGTTACGTACATGGCCTCATCTGCACAGAAAAATAGTAAAAAACCTTTAAGATATGGATGCTAATATTAATGAAAAAAGCAATTCCATTTTAAGTCAGCCGTTAGTAATAAATCGATCTCATATCTAGTTAAAAAAATTTCAGATTTGAAAGCCAACCGTCATTAACAGTGGTAGTATTAGAATCCAAATTTTTTCCCCCTGTCCTGAAAAAAAAATAATTTTCAAAAAAGACTAAAAAGCAGATTAGAAGAGACCAGCAAGCGAAAAATATTAGAAGCTCAGAAATGATACCTAAAGAAACCACTGCTCTCAGCCGTTCGCTTCTTGGAACAATTGCTGCCATTTCCAACCTTATTCTCTTCAGAAATTTCAGCAATATTATCTAAAAGTCCTCTTAGAAATATCAAGAATAACAGTGAGAACCTGCTGCACGTCTCTACAGAAAAAACTAAGCATATTAACAATATTTTAAAACTGAAGTCCTTCACCTTCAATTGTCAAGGGTTGTACGCCAACTGGTACAAGGGGAGTCACTTTAGCCGAGACCAAATTTGAAAGGCTTGAGCAACTAGCATTCAAAAGATAGCCATCCTGTTGTAAAGAAATCGCAATCGAGCCAGGTGTCCTTAAAAAACATGGTCATGAAGAAACTCTGCGAAAAAATTATTTTTCAATCGCCTTCAAGAAAAGAACTCCATCTAACAAAAGTACTCGAGAAGTTTTGTCAGACCAATACTCAAGAAATCAATAACTTTTGTTCAACAGGAAAAATAAAATATAGAAAGTTACTATAAAAGTATTAAAACCCATAACTAAAGAAAAAAAGACGTGGTTTTGGAAACTATAAAAGGACAGTTACAAATTACAAAAGCAGCAATTACCCAGCTCCTGATTTGAGTACTCCATATTTCGATCCATTTATTCGTCTTCGATGTGGCTGTTTGTTTCTTTTCGCTTCTTCGTATGCATCCTCTCCATGAATAGTTTTGATGTGCTTTCTCAGCGAAGAAGGATCGGTATAACTCTTGATGCAGTCAGCAATAGTACACTGGTACGGTTTCTAGAAATTGAAAAACTATTAACACTACGATCTTCATAGTAAAAAACTGCTTATCACCGCTCTTTCACGATCTAAAAATGCGGTCTAATAAATATAAGATATAAAATCTGCTTATAACAAAAAAGAGACATACTGTGTCAGAGTGAGTTCTATTTTGATGTTTGGCACGATCCGATGCGTTGCTGAACGCTTTGGTACAACTTGCAAACTCGCATTTATAAGGCCTTTCACCAGTGTGAGTTCGCATATGAGTCTTCAAGTTCTCCAAGCGACTGTAAGCTTTTCCACAACCAGGAAACTGAGACAAGACAATGAGCAAAAATCATAAACATTTAATAGTTCAAGCACAACGCGACTACTCTGTACAAAAATTATAAAGTAAAGAACCTAGAAAAACAAAACAAAGTGAAACTCCCATCGATTTTAAAACTCACGATGCAAACGTTGGGTTTTTCACCAGTGTGTCTCCTGACGTGAACAACAAGCATATACTGAGCTTTGAAAGCCTCTTCACGTTCACACCCGCGCCATCTGCAGTGAAATATTTTTGAGGCCTAAAAAGGATTGCCAAATACACTGTGTGTCGGAATCAACCACTTCAGAAGACATTAAGGAAAAGTTTCTTGAAAATCCTCATAAAGAAATCTTTTTCGTAAAAGCACTACAAAGTCTCAAAATAAAGATCCAGAAAAAATATATTAAAAATTGTTCGTTAAGAACATTTATCTGTACTACGCTACAAAGAGTGGTATTAGGGTAGTCGGTAGCCAAGTAATTTTTCAGAACTAATGGCAATAAACAAATGTATCAAATAATTTCTGAAGCTTTTGTTATTCAAAAAACATATGATGACAAGGTTTAACAATAAAATCTGCCACTACCGTTTCGAAAAAAAAAAAGAAAAAAACAAACAAACATGCGACCTGGATATGTTCTTTAGTTACATGATCAACCAAACACTTTTGATCAGAAAAATTCGTTGTACAATTGTCCCATTCGCAACGGTAGTCTCCCGACGACATGACGTCAACCATTTCAGGAGATTATGGGTTCCGAACTACAGGACAGGGTTGCATTCATGAAACATTTCTACGAGGCAGACAAATATATCAATACTGGATTCTGAACATGAAATATCCGCAACATTAAAAATAGAAGGAAAAAACTATCGCCTCAACCAAATAAATAACATATTCTATTTTCTTTCTGCTGTGTATTGCTGGCAGAAAAACTTTTAGACCTTTAGATCAAGTTCTTTTCTCCGTTCAAATTTTAAACATGTAAACATTAGGGAAAAAGAGCAATTTATGTGTACAGGTTCAGCTTGAAAACTGGAAAAAAAAAAGAAAAAAAAAAACAGAAGAAAAAGATGATATAGAAGAGAACTGGTATCACACCAGTCCAGTCCGTCCCAAAAGACAATAAATTAAAACAGTTGTACGTATCAACCCAGAATGCAACCAGGTAAGATTATCCCGCAAAACTGTTTACAAACCAACAAATTACTTCCCGCTAACGCTGAAAAGAATAAACAAATTTTAAAATTTTCTTTGGCACTCCGCCGACTTGGCACCCCTCCAAGCTGCTAATACTGCTGCCGGGAAAATGTAACGATTTTTTCACAATTTCTTTGACAATCGGCCAACATTAAGGTCGTCCCTGTAACTTTTTTTTTGATGTACAGTACGTATATTTAGCCACTAAGGCTGTGCTAATGTCTGAGAGGAACATTGTTTAAAGTGACGTCTCTCCGCGAATTTGCTGGAAAGGACAGATAATAATGTCGCGAACATATGGCAGTATCATTAGAAGTTGGATAAATTTGGTAGTAAAACAGGATTCTGCAAGAAACTGCAAGGTCCAGGTTCTTGAACTGCGAAACAACAACTGCATCCAACTTTATTCTCATAAACCCAATGGACACTACTCACTGTCCTCTCCAACACTTTTCAGAGGGTTTGCCGGCAAATATCTCTTTGAATGGTGCTAAACTGGCGACTTATTGAGTGTTAAACATATCGGCGGTTGGTCCTCTGATAGGCGAGTACAGTATTTTATAGGTAGATGAATAAGCAGTCACAAGACAAGATAATCTGTATTATTTTTGCCCAGCAACTGTACGCGTACTGACTAAGAGTAGCACTGCACCAGCTCAACCACTGTTAGAAAAAAACTAGGCAATTGTTACAGACAACTCAACGAAGCCGTCGTTAAGGTACATGGGAAGAATTCTAAAAAAGAGAACTTTTTCTTGAACCTTGGAATTCTCTAAAGAAGCCTGCTATGTTGTGGACCATACAATTTATAATACAACGTAGTTCACAGCAGCGAAATAGCGCTTGGTTGAATAGAAGGACTCTTACTTTTTTCCTTCTGGTGAAGCTTAGAAAAACGACTTGTTATTTTCAAAGTTGAATAGCCGGGAATTTTTATCCCATGTTTTAAAAAATCTGGAAC